ATAGGGTTTTGACAAGGCAAAAGGGAAAGTGGAGAAGAGAATGTAAAAAAGGAGAAAACCCGGGGGAGGGATCACTGGCTCAGGCTCACACACACTCGCCTACACAGCAGGATCTTCTGTAACACTCGCCATACGGCAGTTACGTACATTGCCGTCTTCTACGGCTCTGCCACGAACCTGCCTTTTATCTGCGCAAAATATTTTGTGCTTTGTATCAACATAACATGATTTTCGACCAAGAAATATCGTAAATGACGCATAGTACTTTATTCAGGAAGAAATCATACGATGCACTGCTCAAACTTTTTGGAAAGTGTATGCACAATTCGATATTCATTTGCAAATTTAATTTGTTGTTCATTGCAAAGTTAGTATGTCTTATGGTTGTTTTACCTGGAATAAATGGTTACTACTAAAAGGCCGGGGGCATTCCTCCTTTAAGAAAAACATGGTTACTACTTAAGGATTATTATAAATATGATGTTATTATAACTTTCTATATTCCGAAAGATGGATTTGTAGTTTGCTAAATTAAGAAACCGTACGTAGTGTGAGTCATTTATGCACCGTGTATACCGTGCATCGATCCACCATCTGTCGTCACAAGACTTGCTCTTTTATCGTTATTTGTCTTGTTTCCGGCTATCACATAATGTCTGTTTTTCTATTCTTGTTTCATAGTGCACTACTACCTCTGTTTGAAAATACTTGACATGGATTTAGTTCAAATTGGGGTTTAGTATATCAGTGTGTAACATTAAGAAATTATGTATCGCTAAATTTTATCAAATCCAATTAGGTTTCAAAGTGCATAGTAATGTTTCGTTGTGTATCATCAAAAATAGGTGCATAAATCTCCAACATATTTAACGGTAGATCAAAGCATGTATAAACGGTGCATGGTAGATAAGCATTTCTTACCATATAGATATATTTTAAATAGCAAACAATATTCAAATTTTAGGTTTAATGTTTTGGTGTCTTATAAAGGTGGGATATTCCGTAGATAGCGAGACATTTCTGGTGATTTCATCAATTTCAAAACACGCCGGTTCAGTCTTTTGGAGATGCTCATAGGGTAGTAGGTGTGTGCGTGCTTCGTAAAGATGAGTATATGTGCGTGTTTATGAGCGTTGGTGTCTATATTATGTTTTTAGAACAAAAACGATGAACAAAGTATAACCTCTCGTATTCATATGGACACTTGTTTTACGTGCACACGTTTCTTTGCATATTAAGGGCAACACGCACGCATGTTCCTGCACGAGCTGCCTCAAGATTAGCATCGCAAGTACTCTTTGCTGTTTTCGGCAAAAATAAATAAATTGCAGAAGGATTAGTTCCTTCGGCACGGATGCATGTGACCTGTGTACAAGCTATTCTCGAACACAATTCATGTCAGCAAACTATACAACCCAAATATCAGGATGGCACTATCAATTGCCAAAAAAAAGGTGGCACCATCAACTCTGACCATGTGAGCCATCAAAGTACCCTTAATATTCCCGGGAAAAAAGTGGCATTAATATTTTCCGCAAAAAAGACCATCAATAGTAAGTCATATTTAATTTTTCATCAAAAAAGGCATATTTAATTTTTCCCAATTAAGACTAAATTCCATTAATTAAAATTGTGCTTGATTTTTTCTTTTCCAAAAAGTATGTTGGTCGTCCATGATGACCAATGGACGGATGTGCAAGTCGACAATAGCCTAAATCTTTTCAAAACAACCGTGTTAGACATGTGTTCTAGAGTATCTCTATATTTTCTCCATCCCAAGAAAGGTGATGAGAGCTTTTTGCCTTCAGTCGGCGCCGTCATTGATCTGCCTCATATCCTGTGACCTTGGGCAATGAGGTGCACTAGACCCTGTCACTTGCCAATGGGAGGGCTCCTGCCTTGTTTTTAGTTTTTTTAGGTCGTTTAGGGTTTGCATTCTGCTCAGAAAGGCGATGCAACATCGGCTATATGAAGATGGAATAAAGTCTTCCCCACCTATTCCTCATTCCGGCGATGTGTATAGCATCGTTGGAGGGCATGAGAGGTGTGCCCCCGGCGCACCTCGTGGGATTAAGTCAGTGCTGGTTTTAGATGGATCTCTGTGGATCGAGTCTCCGTTCATCTGTGTTCGTGTGTCTACATATTACATTCTTCTAAAATACACTTCTCTTCATCGGCGACAGTTGTGGTTGTTCTAGTGCACTGGTCCTGTAGGGCCTTAGCACAACGACTTTCCAACTGTCTACTATAACAAGGTTTACCCGGCTGCAATGACGGTGGGGTGCCTTCGGCTCGCTCAAGTGATTGTAGTTGTCTCTAGGTGGTCTAGAAATCAGATGTTATTTCGGTTACTTCTGATGTTCTTTGTACTGCCATGATAGTTGATGAATGGAAGGAAAGTTTTTCTGGCAAAAGAAAGGTTACTAATGGGAAAAAGGAAACATTCCGATCCACTTAACCAGATTGGCAATCTCATCCCTCTGTACGCTAACACCCACCAAGCTTCCACCTACGGCCGTTAGGAGGGTTGCTTCCGCCAATGAAAATCATTGTGCCTACTTATCTAGATCTGTCAACGGTGGCTGAATTGGGACAACATGTGGGGGTTGATGAAATGCGATGGTGTGAGAAGGCTTTGAGTCGTGGATGTCGGGGTGGTGCCCTTGGAAGGTTGTGAGCATAAGG